ATTTCTTGTAGTTTCTTTTGGTAAAGGATTTTATTTTTTTTTTACTGAGAGATTAATCATTATTTTATAATCTCTAAGGATTACGGCATAACCTTCCATATTTTGGTTTTTGTCTTCTTATTCGACCCTTTGGCAGTTTCTTATTTTCATCTTAAGTGGCGTTTGCTTTTCATCTGATTAAGAGGGAGACAGCTAGAGAGTGAGTTTGGCGGGACAAGGGACAGGACTAGGATCTGGTATCTGGTATCTAGGATCTGGGATCTGGAAAGGATCTGAAAGTCTGGGGGGAGACACGGACTCCGCATTGAAGCCCGTTGGGCACGTTGAGGTAACTAAATCAATCAACAAACAATTAATCAATTATAAAAATCGCAAAAGACACTTTAAAATCGAGAGAACACGCGACACAGTGGCAGATTAAATTAAATAAGTAACAACGTTTAAGTATATAATTACAAATGATGTTAGTACCAAGTACTGAGTACCCAGTAACCAAGCACACCCACAACTGAGTGCGTAGTTCCAAACACAGTGTGTAAAGTAGTCCCCGTTCCCAAAAGTCCTTTGTCCTTAGTCCTAGTCCTAGTACGATTCCAATTCCGATTCCGAGTTCGATTTCTGATTTCTGATTACCGATTTATGGTTTTAGTATTCCGCAATTTCTGATTTCTAATTTATGATTACTAATTTCCGTTTTCCGATTTAGCTCATTGTTCCAAAGGGCCCCTGCCTTAGCCCACTGCCATGACGGGGAATCCCCGGAGCGTGTCTCAACGTTTCACCCCGAACAGATTCGGTATGGACTTGATCTTCTTCCGCGAGCAGTTCAGGTAATCCTTGTACATATCGGAGCGTAGGTAACGCGAATACGAGTCGCTCTTCATCAGGTGGTAGACATGCGAGGCAGCCACATCAAAGCACCAGCGATTTGGACCATTCGGAGAGCTGACCGCCTCGCGGGCTAACTCCACCGATTTGGAGTCCACATTCACTGGACAGGGAGCATCGGGGGCAAGGAACTCCTGCCAGATCTTCTGGATGGCCTCCTTGATCTCCGACTGTGGCAGAGCCTTCATCTCCTGCACCGATTCCCAGAACCTGAAAGGGAAGTAAATGGTATTTAATGGAAGAGGTATTTATGCGAATCTTTTATTATTAAATTTCTATGAAATATCACTATTTCATAAAGATTTTAATCATATTAATTAATTTATCCTTCACTCACTTGAGGTTCTCGCCGCTGTATTCCTTTTCCAAGAACTTGGTAAACTGCTCGCGTCCAATGGCATCGTTAAGCAATTCACGCAAACTGAATGCCCAGCGCTTTACGCGTCGTACAGGAACTTCTTTGCTGTTGGGTTAAGAGGTAAAATATTGATTAACAAGGGTCTTAATTTAGTTTTTAATTATTAAAAATTTAAAATAAATAATCAGTAAAGAATTAAGTAATTAAAAATAGTTTATATGGTAAAGACAAAGCAAACATAAAGATATATTCACATTGCCTTTGGAGAAATGCACCATAAAGTTTATTAAGTTTTGAATGAAATTTATGACTTAGCTCTACAAAATACTTTACAAAGGAAAAACTAAATACAATATTTAATTTAAATTTTCAATTACTCATTGATTTATTTAAAACTCACCTATTTTTCTCCGTATCCCACATTTCGGTGCTGTCCGTTTGCCAAGGATTCGGCAGCTCCGGCGAGGTTATAAAGTAATCAAACTCATTGTACTGATCGTAGTAGGCAACCAGACTGGAAATAATACAAGATATGGATAATTATTCTTAATAATTATTAGAAACAAGAAAGGAATCTGATCTAATCTATACCCTTGCAGTTTGCAATAAGATTGGAATAGAAATTAATGCATTTTTGACTAAGTTACCGACTTGAAATTCGGTTCCCCCATCCAATTGGAAACTGTAGGGATATAAATATAAATTTAATAATAATAATAATAAAAAATAACTACAATCGGCTTCCTTAATTTAAATCCATTTCTATTTTTTAAGAAATACTTACGCCTCGGCCGCCTTGGAAACTTTGATTGTTCGCCGCTCGAGCTTCTGTTTCCGTAGGGCTATGATCCTCGTTAGTTGCTCCACAGGATTCTTGGCCAAGGAGGCGCCAGCGGATCCGGTGCCATGGCTGGAGCCACCTCGCCGGTAAGCCTTTTTTATATCAATCTCGGTGGTATTGACGCAGCCGGGCATCGGTCGGTGGACATCCCAAAAGGCCCGCTCCTGTGAGTCGAGCACCTTACGCTCCAGCTTGTCCCGCTTCTTGGCCACTTTGCTTTGCGATTCGGCCTAGATAAAATATATATTTACATTTTTAGTAGAATCTTAAAAATATTTTCAATTAAAATAAAGTACAAAGTAAGTTATATAATTTATAAAATGCATAAAACTATTCTTAATGGCTTTTGAACTTAATTGAATGCTTGGCAAGGTAAGAGATTATGGTTTTTGGACACCTTTGATAATGAATATATGTATATAAACTATAGCTAAGATTTGTGGTTAATATTATAGCTTTACTATTAACTTACCTGCATAAATATAAACTCCCATTTTCGGGAGAACATCTTCTGCAATTTGGCCAGATTTTCAGCCTCATAATCGGCCAACTCCAAACGCGTTTTATTTTGCATTGTGCGTTTGCAAAGGTAAACGGCATAGTCCGTATTCTCGGGCTCCCAGCAATTCGAGGGCCAAAAGTAGGGCGTCTGGAATCTGTGAAGATAAATAACAAAATATTATAGTTATAGGTAAAGGTATAGGTTTATCAGTAAGTCAAGCTAAAACCTATTTATAATCACCTGTAGAAGGTGCCATCATTCTTGACGGTCAGCGCATGATCATCGATGGGAAATATGTAGCCATGGGAGCTAAGCAGGTGGGCAAAGTGCAGGGCCTCCGTCACATCTTCCACATCGAAATTCTTGAGGATCCATGCCACCAGATCCGCTCCGGTGAACACCGATGGCACCTTGCTCATGAATGCCTTCACCGTGCGCACGGCCACGCCCGTCGTTTCCGCCTGCATTTTCTCAATGATGGCCTCCATCTGTAAATTGATTAAAGATTAGTATTTAAGTTAAGACTAGCATAAATATTATTTTAATATAAAGTTAAATGTATGTATTTGCTGTAGCGAAAGTCTATATAAATAAATATTTTAATGCTACGATTTTATTTTATAAATCGAAGCAATATTATTTGAAAAAGCGAATAATATATTATTTTATATATTCTTTCGATAGTATTAATGAATGTATAATGCAATATTGTCAAATACAATAGTTTCACATAGAATTTTTCTTGTAGATATACCCTTTTTTGGGTTTTTTAATTTCAGTCAGAGATTCAAAGAATGCGAATATATTAAGCTATGTTTTATGATTGATTTCCAATTTGATCCTATAATTCGATATGCAAACTTAAAGGGTATTTGAATGAATTACCTTTTGTACACTAGGATATTGGGTGCATCTTCGTTCTTGCCACCCCTTTGCTGCGACGCCGATGGCACTGCCAGCGTTGTTGACGATGACGGTGGTGGTTGCTGCTGTTGCTGCTGTGCCTGCGATGCTGACTGTGACTGCGACGACGATTGCTGGTGGTGATGGTGATGATGATGATTGGCATTGACTGTCAGCAATCCGCTGCTGCCGCCACTCTGCTTGCCGGTGCCCGTTGACGCTGCCGACGCAGCTGATGCTGCTGCTGTCGATGATGAGGGGGTGGTTGAGGTGGTGGCATCAGCATTTACTGTTTTAACAGCATGAGGAGGAGGAGGAGCAGCAGCAGCGGCAGGGACAGCAGCAGGTGCAGTTGCTGCTACTGTTGCCGCTGCTGCTGCTGTTGATGTTGCATGCGTTGCTGCCGTTGCAGATGCAATTTTTGGGGATGCTGCTGCTGTTGCTGCTGCTACTGTTGCTACTGGTGCTGCCTTGGGCGATGTGGTTACTCCTCCAGCTGGATTCGCTCCTGATACCAACTTTGTGACCACCACCGTTGTCTCGTTCTCCAGGAATGCCACATTGTTATTGCCATTGGTCAGGGTTGTGGTGGCTGCATCGCTGCGATGTGGAATTGCTGCCAGCGGATCGGTGCTGCTGTTGCCGCTGCAACTGCTGCTGCTGCAATCCGCCGTGGGTGTTCCTGCTGCGGGTGTTGCTGATACCGCTGGCACCACCTCTGGCTGGGGCGGCGTCGCCGTTGCTGCTGCTGCTGCTGCTGCTGGTTGCTTGGCGGGTGCACTGGTGGCATTGGTGGCTTGTGTTTTGTCCGCCTCCGAGTTCATCGTTACCATCTTTAAAGGATCAGCCGTCGGTATTGCCTGTTTTTCTCCAGAGCCTTGGCTATTTTTAATCCCAGTGCCGGCTGCTCCAATCACCAAACACGACACACAAAAAAAAACAAAAAAAAGCAACGGAAAAATGGAAAGCAAGAGGTGCTTTTCCGGTAGAGAAGAGAGAGGGGTGGTGGCGGCTTGCTTTGGTGGTGTTTTCTCAGCTCAGCGAGCTATTTTCGTGTGTGCGTGTGTGTGTGTGTGTGCAAATCAATTTGTTGGCTGAGAGGCTCCGAAAAGGAAACGGAAAAAGTTGGAAAAGTTGTTCAGTTTCTGGCTGTCATTTTGCTTTTTTCATGGCCATTTTCCTGGATTTTCATCGTTCTGCCTTTCTATCTCTAGCAGTTTCTTTTAGTTTTTCCTTGCGTTTTCTTGGACTTTTTGACTTTCCCTTTCCTGATTTTTTTCGCTATATTGTATATGTATGCAGAAATTTTCAGGAGTTATGGCAGCCTCACACACACACGCACAGGCACTCGTTTCTTGTTGGGATATTTTGTTGAATATTTATGCCCCGAGCTGGTGTCCTTAAATATTTTCCTTATTTTGGTAATTCTCCGATTCCTGCCTATTTTTGAGAATTTTTTGAGCGCAGTTTTTCCAAACGTTTCTGTGCTGTTCCTCCGCTCCTCTTTTGCCGTTTCCGCTGCTGTTGCTGTTGCTGTTGCTGTTGCTCCTTGCTCCTTGCTCTCTCGCTCGCGCACTCGCCCTCTCTCGCTCGCGCGCGACGTGTTTTTTACCTTTTAGCCCGTAATCATTTTACGGCCCAAAGTCAATCGGCTCCTTGGAGCTTCCTGCTGATAGTCCTTCATCGATTTTTCGTAATTCCCACCCGAAGGCGCTCTCTTTCGGTCGCTCTCTCTCGCTCTTTTCGTCCTGCGCCAGCGCCCTTGCCGTTGTTTACATCCGCCAGCTGTTGCAGTTGCCACTTTTCGTACGTTATTCGATATTGGTTTCGAATGTTGCCAGTACTTCGATAAAATCGATATCCTTTTTGTGTAATTTAAAATCATAAATCATTTGTATTTTCATACATGTACTTATTTATAGAGAGCTCAAAAATAATTAAAATGTTACCAAGGAAATGTTTAATAGATTAAGTTGTAAGTATGAATATTTAATATTAAAGGCGAAGGCTGTTGTCGATGTTTTAACTTTGCGATATATGTTATGTATGTAGATATGACGAAAGAGCCAAGGCACTATTTTATGTAGCAAACAAAAAAAAAAGCATTTATTTGTCAAAAACCAAAATTATAATAAGAATAAGAAAATACAAATAACCGATAAATTTAAATTCGTACTTCCAAGGTAATATCTAAAAGAGGTTCGATACTCCGATTAGTGCACTTAGAGCCCGTTAGATGGATTTTTGTACAAACACAACAACCATAATACTACAACAAAAACAATACTTTTTCCATCCAATATCACGAAAATATCCAAGTAAATTACCCATTTCCCGAACTGGAGTAACAGGCGAACAGAAATCAGCAGAGGACGACGGCGGACTATTTGAATTTCAAATTTGCCGGTTTTTGAGTTTAACTTTTTAGACCATGTATGGCGGAAATTAATCTCACTTCGATTTTTTAGACCATGTATGGCGGAAATTAATCGGCTTTTTAAATTTGAATTTAAATGTGGCGGTTCAACAGAAAGAAGCAGAGGACGGTGGCGGACTATTTGAATTTCAAATTTGGCAGTTATTGAGTTGAATTTTTAAGACCATGTATGGCGGTAATTAATCGGCGTTTTAAATTCGAATTTAAATCTGGCGGTTCATCTGAGATGCCAACAACAACCATAAAATACAACAACAATTATTGTACAACAACATCTCTACAACAACAACACATTTTCAATGCAAAATGCCGAAAATCTCTAAGCAAATTACCCATTTCCCGAACTAAAGTAACAGGCGAACAGAAATCAGCAGAGGACGACGGCGGACTATTTGAATTTCAAATTTGCCGGTTTTTGAGTTTAACTTTTTAGACCATGTATGGCGGAAATTAATCTCACTTCGATTTTTTAGACCATGTATGGCGGAAATTAATCGGCTTTTTAAATTTGAATTTAAATGTGGCGGTTCAACAGAAAGAAGCAGAGGACGGTGGCGGACTATTTGAATTTCAAATTTGGCAGTTATTGAGTTGAATTTTAAGACCATGTATGGCGGTAATTAATCGGCGTTTTAAATTCGAATTTAAATCTGGCGGTTCATCTGAGATGCCAACAACAACCATAAAATACAACAACAATTATTGTACAACAACATATCTACAACAACAACACATTTTCAATGCAAAATGCCGAAAATCTCTAAATAAATTGCCCATTTCCCGATCTGGGGTAACAGGCGAACAGAAATCAGCAGAGGACGACGGCGGACTATTTGAATTTCAAATTTGCCGGTTTTTGAGTTTCACTTTTTAGACCATGTATGGCGGAAATTAATCTCACTTCGATTTTTTAGACCATGTATGGCGGAAATTAATCGGCTTTTTAAATTTGAATTTAAATGTGGCGGTTCAAAAGAAAGAAGCAGCGGACTGTGGCGGACTATTTGAATTTCAAATATGGCGGTTATTGAGTTGAATTTTTAAGACCATGTATGCCGGTAATTAATCGGCGTTTTAAATTCGAATTTAAATCTGGCGGTTCATCTGAGATGCCAACAACAACCATAAAATACAACAACAATTATTGTACAACATCATATCTACAAGAACAACACATTTTCAATGCAAAATGCCGAAAATCTCTAAGCAAATTGCCCATTTCCCGATCTGGGGTAACAGGCGAACAGAAATCAGCAGAGGACGACGGCGGACTATTTGAATTTCAAATTTGCCGGTTTTTGAGTTTAACTTTTTAGACCATGTATGGCGGAAATTAATCTCACTTCGATTTTTTAGACCATGTATGGCGGAAATTAATCGGCTTTTTAAATTTGAATTTAAATGTGGCGGTTCAACAGAAAGAAGCAGAGGACGGTGGCGGACTATTTGAATTTCAAATTTGGCAGTTATTGAGTTGAATTTTTAAGACCATGTATGGCGGTAATTAATCGGCGTTTTAAATTCGAATTTAAATCTGGCGGTTCATCTGAGATGCCAACAACAACCATAAAATACAACAACAATTATTGTACAACAACATCTCTACAACAACAACACATTTTCAATGCAAAATGCCGAAAATCTCTAAGCAAATTACCCATTTCCCGAACTAAAGTAACAGGCGAACAGAAATCAGCAGAGGACGACGGCGGACTATTTGAATTTCAAATTTGCCGGTTTTTGAGTTTAACTTTTTAGACCATGTATGGCGGAAATTAATCTCACTTCGATTTTTTAGACCATGTATGGCGGAAATTAATCGGCTTTTTAAATTTGAATTTAAATGTGGCGGTTCAAAAGAAAGAAGCAGCGGACTGTGGCGGACTATTTGAATTTCAAATATGGCGGTTATTGAGTTGAATTTTTAAGACCATGTATGCCGGTAATTAATCGGCGTTTTAAATTCGAATTTAAATCTGGCGGTTCATCTGAGATGCCAACAACAACCATAAAATACAACAACAATTATTGTACAACAACATATCTACAACAACAACACATTTTCAATGCAAAATGCCGAAAATCTCTAAATAAATTGCCCATTTCCCGATCTGGGGTAACAGGCGAACAGAAATCAGCAGAGGACGACGGCGGACTATTTGAATTTCAAATTTGCCGGTTTTTGAGTTTCACTTTTTAGACCATGTATGGCGGAAATTAATCTCACTTCGATTTTTTAGACCATGTATGGCGGAAATTAATCGGCTTTTTAAATTTGAATTTAAATGTGGCGGTTCAAAAGAAAGAAGCAGCGGACTGTGGCGGACTATTTGAATTTCAAATATGGCGGTTATTGAGTTGAATTTTTAAGACCATGTATGCCGGTAATTAATCGGCGTTTTAAATTCGAATTTAAATCTGGCGGTTCATCTGAGATGCCAACAACAACCATAAAATACAACAACAATTATTGTACAACATCATATCTACAAGAACAACACATTTTCAATGCAAAATGCCGAAAATCTCTAAGCAAATTGCCCATTTCCCGATCTGGGGTAACAGGCGAACAGAAATCAGCAGAGGACGACGGCGGACTATTTGAATTTCAAATTTGCCGGTTTTTGAGTTTCACTTTTTAGACCATGTATGGCGGAAATTAATCTCACTTCGATTTTTTAGACCATGTATGGCGGAAATTAATCGGCTTTTTAAATTTGAATTTAAATGTGGCGGTTCACCAGAAAGAAGCAGAGGACGGTGGCGGACTATTTGAATTTCAAATTCGGCGGTTATTGAGTTGAATTTTTAAGACCATGTATGGCGGTAATTAATCGGCGTTTTAAATTCGAATTTAAATCTGGCGGTTCATCTGAGATGCCAACAACAACCATAAAATACAACAACAATTATTGTACAACAACATATCTACAACAACAACATATTTTCAATGCAAAATGCCGAAAATCTCTAAGCAAATTGCCCATTTCCCGATCTGGGGTAACAGGCGAACAGAAATCAGCAGAGGACGACGGCGGACTATTTGAATTTCAAATTTGCCGGTTTTTGAGTTTCACTTTTTAGACCATGTATGGCGGAAATTAATCTCACTTCGATTTTTTAGACCATGTATGGCGGAAATTAATCGGCTTTTTAAATTTGAATTTAAATGTAGCGGTTCACCAGAAAGAAGCAGAGGACGGTGGCGGACTATTTGAATTTCAAATTTGGCAGTTATTGAGTTGAATTTTTAAGACCATGTATGGCGGTAATTAATCGGCGTTTTAAATTCGAATTTAAATCTGGCGGTTCATCTGAGATGCCAACAACAACCATAAAATACAACAACAATTATTGTACAACATCATCTCTACAAGAACAACACATTTTCAATGCAAAATGCCGAAAATCTCTAAGCAAATTGCCCATTTCCCGATCTGGGGTAACAGGCGAACAGAAATCAGCAGAGGACGACGGCGGACTATTTGAATTTCAAATTTGCCGGTTTTTGAGTTTAACTTTTTAGACCATGTATGGCGGAAATTGATCTCACTTCGATTTTTTAGACCATGTATGGCGGAAATTAATCGGCTTTTTAAATTTGAATTTAAATGTGGCGGTTCACCAGAAAGAAGCAGAGGACGGTGGCGGACTATTTGAATTTCAAATTCGGCGGTTATTGAGTTGAAGTTTTAAGACCATGTATGCCGGTAATTAATCGGCGTTTTAAATTCGAATTTAAATCTGGCGGTTCATCTGAGATGCCAACAACAACCATAAAATACAACAACAATTATTGTACAACAACATATCTACAACAACAACACATTTTCAATGCAAAATGCCGAAAATCTCTAAGCAAATTACCCATTTCCCGAACTAAAGTAACAGGCGAACAGAAATCAGCAGAGGACGACGGCGGACTATTTGAATTTCAAATTTGCCGGTTTTTGAGTTTCACTTTTAGACCATGTATGGCGGAAATTAATCTCACTTCGATTTTTTAGACCATGTATGGCGGAAATTAATCGGCTTTTTAAATTTGAATTTAAATGTGGCGGTTCAACAGAAAGAAGCAGAGGACGGTGGCGGACTATTTGAATTTCAAATTTGGCAGTTATTGAGTTGAATTTTTAAGACTATGTATGGCGGTAATTAATCGGCGTTTTAAATTCGAATTTAAATCTGGCGGTTCATCTGAGATGCCAACAACAACCATAAAATACAACAACAATTATTGTACAACAACATATCTACAACAACAACACATTTTCAATGCAAAATGCCGAAAATCTCTAAGCAAATTGCCCATTTCCCGATCTGGGGTAACAGGCGAACAGAAATCAGCAGAGGACGACGGCGGACTACTTGAATTTCAAATTTGCCGGTTTTTGAGTTTCACTTTTTAGACCATGTATGGCGGAAATTAATCTCACTTCGATTTTTTAGACCATGTATGGCGCAAATTAATCGGCTTTTTAAATTTGAATTTAAATGTGGCGGTTCAAAAGAAAGAAGCAGCGGACTGTGGCGGACTATTTGAATTTCAAATATGGCGGTTATTGAGTTGAATTTTTAAGACCATGTATGCAAGTAATTAATCGGCGTTTTAAATTCGAATTTAAATCTGGCGGTTCATCTGAGATGCCAACAACAACCATAAAATACAACAACAATTATTGTACAACATCATCTCTACAAGAACAACACATTTTCAATGCAAACTGCCGAAAATCTCTAAGCAAATTGCCCATTTCCCGATCTGGGGTAACAGGCGAACAGAAATCAGCAGAGGACGACGGCGGACTACTTGAATTTCAAATTTGCCGGTTTTTGAGTTTCACTTTTTAGACCATGTATGGCGGAAATTAATCTCACTTCGATTTTTTAGACCATGTATGGCGGAAATTAATCGGCTTTTTAAATTTGAATTTAAATGTGGCGGTTCACCAGAAAGAAGCAGAGGACGGTGGCGGACTATTTGAATTTCAAATTCGGCGGTTATTGAGTTGAATTTTTAAGACCATGTATGCCGGTAATTAATCGGCCTTTTAAATTCGAATTTAAATCTGGCGGTTCATCTGAGATGCCAACAACAACCATAAAATACAACAACAATTATTGTACAACAACATCTCTACAACAACAACACATTTTCAATGCAAAATGCCGAAAATCTCTAAGCAAATTGCCCATTTCCCGATCTGGGGTAACAGGCGAACAGAAATCAGCAGAGGACGACGGCGGACTATTTGAATTTCAAATTTGCCGGTTTTTGAGTTTAACTTTTTAGACCATGTATGGCGGAAATTAATCTCACTTCGTTTTTTTAGACCATGTATGGCGGAAATTAGTCGGCTTTTTAAATTTGAATTTAAATGTGGCGGTTCACGAGAAAGAAGCAGAGGACGGTGGCGGACTATTTGAATTTCAAATTCGGCGGTTATTGAGTTGAATTTTTAAGACCATGTATGGCGGTAATTAATCGGCGTTTTAAATTCGAATTTAAATCTGGCGGTTCATCTGAGATGCCAACAACAAACATAAAATACAACAACAATTATTGTACAACAACATATCTACAACAACAACACATTTTCAATGCAAAATGCCGAAAATCTCTAAGCAAATTACCCATTTCCCGAACTAAAGTAACAGGCGAACAGAAATCAGCAGAGGACGACGGCGGACTATTTGAATTTCAAATTTGCCGGTTTTTGAGTTTCACTTTTTAGACCATGTATGGCGGAAATTAATCTCACTTCGATTTTTTAGACCATGTATGGCGGAAATTAATCGGCTTTTTAAATTTGAATTTAAATGTGGCGGTTCAACAGAAAGAAGCAGAGGACGGTGGCGGACTATTTGAATTTCAAATTTGGCAGTTATTGAGTTGAATTTTTAAGACTATGTATGGCGGTAATTAATCGGCGTTTTAAATTCGAATTTAAATCTGGCGGTTCATCTGAGATGCCAACAACAACCATAAAATACAACAACAATTATTGTACAACAACATATCTACAACAACAACACATTTTCAATGCAAAATGCCGAAAATCTCTAAGCAAATTGCCCATTTCCCGATCTGGGGTAACAGGCGAACAGAAATCAGCAGAGGACGACGGCGGACTACTTGAATTTCAAATTTGCCGGTTTTTGAGTTTCACTTTTTAGACCATGTATGGCGGAAATTAATCTCACTTCGATTTTTTAGACCATGTATGGCGCAAATTAATCGGCTTTTTAAATTTGAATTTAAATGTGGCGGTTCAAAAGAAAGAAGCAGCGGACTGTGGCGGACTATTTGAATTTCAAATATGGCGGTTATTGAGTTGAATTTTTAAGACCATGTATGCAAGTAATTAATCGGCGTTTTAAATTCGAATTTAAATCTGGCGGTTCATCTGAGATGCCAACAACAACCATAAAATACAACAACAATTATTGTACAACATCATCTCTACAAGAACAACACATTTTCAATGCAAACTGCCGAAAATCTCTAAGCAAATTGCCCATTTCCCGATCTGGGGTAACAGGCGAACAGAAATCAGCAGAGGACGACGGCGGACTACTTGAATTTCAAATTTGCCGGTTTTTGAGTTTCACTTTTTAGACCATGTATGGCGGAAATTAATCTCACTTCGATTTTTTAGACCATGTATGGCGGAAATTAATCGGCTTTTTAAATTTGAATTTAAATGTGGCGGTTCACCAGAAAGAAGCAGAGGACGGTGGCGGACTATTTGAATTTCAAATTCGGCGGTTATTGAGTTGAATTTTTAAGACCATGTATGCCGGTAATTAATCGGCCTTTTAAATTCGAATTTAAATCTGGCGGTTCATCTGAGATGCCAACAACAACCATAAAATACAACAACAATTATTGTACAACAACATCTCTACAACAACAACACATTTTCAATGCAAAATGCCGAAAATCTCTAAGCAAATTGCCCATTTCCCGATCTGGGGTAACAGGCGAACAGAAATCAGCAGAGGACGACGGCGGACTATTTGAATTTCAAATTTGCCGGTTTTTGAGTTTAACTTTTTAGACCATGTATGGCGGAAATTAATCTCACTTCGTTTTTTTAGACCATGTATGGCGGAAATTAGTCGGCTTTTTAAATTTGAATTTAAATGTGGCGGTTCACGAGAAAGAAGCAGAGGACGGTGGCGGACTATTTGAATTTCAAATTCGGCGGTTATTGAGTTGAATTTTTAAGACCATGTATGGCGGTAATTAATCGGCGTTTTAAATTCGAATTTAAATCTGGCGGTTCATCTGAGATGCCAACAACAAACATAAAATACAACAACAATTATTGTACAACAACATCTCTACAACAACAACACATTTTCAATGCAAAATGCCGAAAATCTTTAAGCAAATTGCCTATTTCCCGATCTGGGATAACAGGCGAACAGAAATCAGCAGAGGACGACGGCGGACTATTTGAATTTCAAATTTGCCGGTTTTTGAGTTTAACTTTTTAGACCATGTATGGCGGAAAATAATCTCACTTCGATTTTTAGACCATGTATGGCGCAAATTAATCGGCTTTTTAAATTTGAATTTAAATGTGGCGGTTCAAAAGAAAGAAGCAGAGGACGGTGGCGGACTATTTGAATTTCAAATTCGGCGGTTATTGAGTTGAATTTTTAAGACCATGTATGGCGGTAATTAATCGGCGTTTTAAATTCGAATTTAAATCTGGCGGTTCATCTGAGATGCCAACAACAAACATAAAATACAACAACAATTATTGTACAACAACATCTCTACAACAACAACACATTTTCAATGCAAAATGCCGAAAATCTCTAAGCAAATTGCCCATTTCCCGATCTGGGGTAACAGGCGAACAGAAATCAGCAGAGGACGACGGCGGACTATTTGAATTTCAAATTTGCCGGTTTTTGAGTTTCACTTTTTAGACCATGTATGGCGGAAATTAATCTCACTTCGATTTTTAGACCATGTATGGCGGAAATTAATCGGCTTTTTAAATTTGAATTTAAATGTGGCGGTTCACCAGAAAGAAGCCTTTTGCCGTTTTAAAATATATATCGTTTTTTTTTTAATTGAATTTAAAAATTTGCGGTGAATGAGTTCGATTTGAAGTCCACTGCTTACACCTTATATGGGGGAAAATTTAAAATTGAAATTTAAAACTTTTGACATTTTTAATATTGATATTATCAAGACCACAAACATAAAATTGAGAAACTAAGAGTTTGTGGAACAATATATGTTTTTATTAAAATTTAAAATTATATAACTCCGTCCCACATGCAAAACTCGAATATATTGGTATTATTGGTCCCACCATATTACATATTTTTACATTTCGCTTCATTACCTTATTTATAGAATTAGAATTTGCTTCTAAAACATTAATTTTCTTTATGTTTACAATTACAAAAAAAAAAGAATACAATTAATCCGATTAAATATAGCATATTATTTTTATATGTAAAATGTACATGCATAGTTTCTTTTTAATTATTTGCATATTGGTATTTTAACTTATAGTGACCTTAGTTGTTATGGCTTTTATACAAAGTTTTGCAATGATTTTGGAAAACATTCAAAAAGGAATTACAATAAATAGAAAAAAATAATACATTGTATGTGCAGGATAAAATAGACGGCTACGGCTACACAAAGGATAATCAAGTTATATTCTATAGATATTGATATGTAAATATATATATTTTACTGCCCCTAAGACTAAGTGTGTGCGCTGTGTCGCTTGAATAACTACGTACATCTGAATTATCTGGCGTACACTTGATTTTATTTACATAGGTTTGAGAATATATATATTTTATGTACGTATTTATTTATGGTATAAATATGTGTGTTTGTGTGTTGCTATAAAGTCAGCAATAGGCGATATCCCGCTATCAATTGTCATGATCAATATCGTGTTATCGATGTCCGCTATCAATAGCAAAAGAGAGGTTAGGCAAACAGGACCAAATCGGGGTTTATCCTATATGACCAGCTATACGTAATGTATGTAACTATTTTTATTTGTTAGAAATAAAACTCGAAATAAACTAGGATATGAAACAAGATAGGTATCTATAAAATCATAGATTTTGATCTCAGGAGCAGAATAAAACTCCAAGTTAAGAAGCGAAAATAAAAAAGGTAAACTAACTAATTAAATACTGGAAATAGAACAAGTCAAAAAAAAAAGGAAAACTTGAATATATGCAAAGGGGATACAAATTATTAAATATAATATGGATATTATATTTATATTTCGATTATATCCAGACCACAATATACGAGACCTTATCAATGGGGAACCATTATTTGGCGATAAGTTAATGGATTTCCTTTTTGCATCGATAGCGGATTGGCCCTATAAATCACATGTTGATACTTAGTGTATCAATGACATAGAAACCATCATTATCATGATGATGGTCGTGATTACGATTATTGTTTTTATATTTAAAATTCTATTGGGTCGATTGTGTGTACAAAATACCAACAAAATGACAAGTTGTAGGGCGAATTTGTAACCTAAGGTTATTTTTTTGAGTAAAAATGTGAAAGTATTCTTGGTTCTGACCTTTCTTTTGAAACGAAAATTGTTAATTTAAAATCAGTGGTTCGAGTGGTGTTACATATAATGTCAGTTATTGTTTTCTTTCTGTAATGTCTTAAGTTTTTAAGTATTGGTTTAAAGAATTGATTGGAGTAATGTTATGGAAATGAAGTGTTACGTTGCGAACCACTGATTTAAAGCATACTTTTTGGGGATTATATCCTATCTCTCCTGGGTTAATATTACCCTACTCTTGGAAACGATTTATGATAGGTACCATCTACTGATGCTGCTCCCTGGAATGCCGCACTGGACGATCCCTGTCTCGATCTCGTTCCCGCTCCCTTTCCGACCACAAAGGCTGGCCACTCTGGGCCTGGTATGACAATGGAGGTGGTGGTGCCGCCAACTGGGCCTGAGGCACTAGCTCCGCCTGCGGATTGAACTGATTGTTCGTGTTATAGTTGACCAGGATATCGCTGGCCAAGCTATGGCCATAGTTAACGCTCCGATCGGGGTATCCTTGATTCTGGGGCTGCACCTGGATGGGCTGCGACTGCACCTGATGCGGTTTGCCACTTCGCCAGTGCTTGTGCTGGGCCACGGGCACCAAGCGGTACAGAGGCTCCGCTGACGGAGCACTAGGATAGCCATGAGCATAGTACTGCGGATATTGATGGGACAGCGGATGGGGATGCCCATGTGGATGTCCTTGTTTGCTGCTGGGACGCACGCGCTTAAACTGTGGCGCCGGTCGTTGCCAGAACTGCAGGGGATTCCCCTGGACCGGAGCCGGTGGTCGGAGTTGGGGATCCTCCGCAAATTGTGGCCCAGGCGTGCTGTAGATCTGCGGCTCAAAGATCTGCTGTTGCTGCTGCTGTTGGTGTTGCTGCTGCTGCAGATGTTGCTGTTGCTTTCCCACTCGGAAGTGGCGTCCCGGCAGATAGGAATCCGGCGGAGAGGCTTCGAGGCTAGGCTCCAGCTGTAGCTGCTGCTTGCCCACCCTTAGATGGCGTTGCCTCTGGCCAGGTGGCTGGTAGACAATGGCCTTGAAGGCATTCTGATCCTGCTCATCCGCGCTGTAGTTTACCATGGGCAGGAAGGGTTGCTTATCAAAGTCGGGTGCCTGGAAAAGGATACGAATTTTAAATAAAGAAGAATATATACATTAACAAGGAGCACCCACCTGGAATCTACCTGAACCACCTCCAGCTGGCGGCGAGACAAGATTGCTCCTTAATAGCTGCCCCAGTGAGGCCTCGTACTCTGCGTGCAGCTGCAACTGGGCAGTCCTTGGCTTGGGCGTAATATTGACCACATCGGATACATCATTGGAGGGACTTGGAGAGGCCTTGTAGTGCTGCAGATGCTCCCGCTGATGGTGGTGATGGTGCCGCTTGGGTGGCTTGGTGGCCAGGAAGTCGTCAATGACATTGGACTTGATTGAGCCCGGCTGCCGCTTGGCCTCAAAGTACTCGTAGTATATGGGATTCGATTTGGAGAGCGGAGGATCTAGCGGTGTGTCCTGGAGCGTACTCTCCGTAGAGCTGGGCACGAACACAAGCTGCGGCCGTGGTGTGTAGTTGACCGGATAGATGGGTATGGGCACAGCCACTGGCACTGGCACTCGCTCCACATAGCTGGGTGGAGGTGGACTCTGTCTGGGCGCTGGTGGCAGGTAGGTGATGGCATTGTACTTGGGTTTGTAGGAAGTCCTGATGGTGGGCAATGGTACCGGAGGTCTGGGTGTGGTTGTCGTGGTGGTGCTGGTGGTAGTCGTGGTGCTGCTGCTAGTCAAGGTGGTACTGCCTGTGGTTGGTGGTCGCCTGGTGGTCTCCAGTCGACTAAAGTGATCTGGTGGCGGTGGCAGCACTATTCCCGGCACCAAAGGTCCCGGTGGCACTGGGTTCGAATAGTTGCTCTTGTACACAAAACTATATGCCGGCGGATAGTATAGGGAGGGATCATCTTCGTCGAAGTCACTCACATTTCCAGGTATTCCTGGGGAATCTCCCGTGAGGGATCCATTACCATTCAGCCCGTTGATCAGCCAGGGACCCAGGAGCGGCGGTGTCCTTAGCAGACCCCGGGTCGGCCCCGTATCGTTGGGGTAGAGCAGCCAGGGGGCATAGGGCGCCGGATAGACGTAGGCCGGGGTTTTCGGACGAGCTTGCTCAGGTGCTGCAGCCGAAGATTGCGTTCCCGTCCGGGCAGCAGGATGCGATGCGAGATTTTCGGCGGCGGAGCCCGCGTAGCCCTGGTGGTGGACGGCCTCAGCGGATAGCGTTGCATTGCCAGGCGCCGGACGGAGGATCTCGAGTTGATTATCTCGGATAAGCTGCAGCGGCCCGTGCGGATCGAGCTGCACGGGAAATGGAGGCGGCACTGCAGGATTATCGGGCAACTTGATTTGCCGCCCTGGAGCATCGTAGTCATCGATGGCCGGCCAGGGTCCCTGCTGGTTATCCTCCACTTCCTCGTTCAGAGCTCCACCCTTGATCACTAGCAGATGATCCTCGGCCAGCCAGATGTCCTCTTCATTTAGTCCACCGTAGTTCCGCTCGTTGTCCAGCGGAACCTCCGAATTCCGGGCATAGCTCAGCACTCCTGGTCGCTTGGGCACACGCCGGAATAGCTCCTTCTCAATCAGACCGTACTTGCCATCCCTCACCTGGTCGGCCAGGGTTTTCTTGGCCTCGTCCTTGGATGGCTTCTTGGCCGGAGCCTCCGCTTCCTTGCCAGAGCCGGCACTCAGCCGCAGGATGCCATTGTCCCAGTTGTCGAAGTCATCGGGTTCGTTAAGCAGAGCCTCGTCGTCGTCATCGTCCTGCTCCCTAAGGCTCAGGTGGCTTTTAGTTCTCGAAGGAGGAGACGCTGGAGGAGGCAGTGGTGTTGTGGATCTGGAGGTGCTTGGCGGATTGCTGAATCTTGTGACGGCTGCTGGTGTGGTCAATCTCGGCCTGACCGAGGGCTTGGCCAGTCTGTAACTGCTGCTTGCCTTGCCTCTCAGAGATGTGGCCACCTTCGCTGTGGTTGTCGTTGTCGTCCTAGTTGTGGTTGTTTCTGTGGGCGTGGCTGTGACCCTGCTCGTCGAAGTGGGTACAAAGCTGGAGGAGGAGCTGTTGGCGCTCACCGCCGACACTTCGTAAGTGGAGTGTCCCTGGGCATTGTGGATGTGGCCAGCCACCAGTCTCTGGATCATGCGCGGCCTGTCAAAGATATTAAATATTATTAGAAAATAATTAAAAAGTTAAGTCTGACTTCTATACCCTTCAGGGTATTATAATTTCAGTCAGAAGTGTATGCAAATCAGAATACTATATAATACAACTGCCAGAGAAACGGTTGTTAAATTAAAGGATCAGTAAGTATCTATAAGCAGTAAGTAACTCTGAACAGTAAGTATCTATGAGCAGTAAGTAACTCTGAACAGTAAGTATCTCTGAGGAGTGAGTAACTCTGAACAGTAAGTATCTATGAGCAGTGAGTAACTCTGAACGGTGAGTATCTATGACCAGTTACTAACTTTAAACACTGATAAACAATGACTTGCAAGTTTAGGAACACAACACATATCTGAGACTTGGCTAGCAGCAGTCACTTCGTTCCGGGGATGTTTGAACCAGTTGGGAATCATAGGCCACGTGTGCGAGATTTGTTTTGGCACAGTTTTAAGAGCAAGTTATTTGACTGAAACTATGGAGTTAGTTTTCTGTAACATTTTATAAGTATATAAATCGGATCATGTTGAATCGGTGGACTATATATATATATACATATATACAGCTGCCATTGGAACTATCGGAAAATGTTCAGAAAATAAATTACAATTTTTAAAGTTTTCAAAAATATTCATCTAATTTGATTCAAAGCTATCTTTAGTTATTAAAAAACTTCGTTTTTAGTTATATGAAAATCAGAATACTATATAATATAACTGCCAGAGAAACGGTTGTTAAATTAAAGGATCAGTAAGTATCTATAAACAGTAAGTAACTCTGAACAGTAAGTATCTATGAGCAGTGAGTAACTCCGAACGGTGAGTATCTATGACCAGTTACTAACTTTAAACACTGATAAACAATGACTTGCAAGTTTAGGAACACAACACATATCTGAGACTTGGCTAGCAGCAGTCACTTCGTTCCGGGGATGTTTGAACCAGTTGGGAATCATAGGCCACGTGTGCGAGATTTGTTTTGGCACAGTTTTAAGAGCAAGTTATTTGACTGAAACTATGGAGTTAGTTTTCTGTAACATTTTATAAGTATATAAATCGGATCATGTTGAATCGGTGGACTATATATATATATACATATATACAGCTGCCATTGGAACTATCGGAAAATGTTCAGAAAATAAATTACAATTTTTAAAGTTTTCAAAAATATTCATCTAATTTGATTCAAAGCTATCTTTAGTTATTAAAAAACTTCGTTTTTAGTTATATGAAAATCAGAATACTATATAATATAACTGCCAGAGAAACGGTTGTTAAATTAAAGGATCAGTAAGTATCTATAAACAGTAAGTAACTCTGAACAGTAAGTATCTATGAGCAGTGAGTAACTCCGAACGGTGAGTATCTATGACCAGTTACTAACTTTAAACACTGATAAACAATGACTTGCAAGTTTAGGAACACAACACATATCTGAGACTTGGCTAGCAGCAGTCACTTCGTTCCGGGGATGTTTGAACCAGTTGGGAATCATAGGCCACGTGTGCGAGATTTGTTTTGGCACAGTTTTAAGAGCAAGTTATTTGACTGAAACTATGGAGTTAGTTTTCTGTAACATTTTATAAGTATATAAATCGGATCATGGCGAATCGGTGGACTATATAAATATATATACATGTATACAGCTACCATTGGAACTTTTGGCAAATGTTTAGAAAATAAATTACAATTTTTAAAGTTTTCAAAAATATTTATCTAATTTGATTCAAAGCTATCTTTAGTTATTAAAAAACTTCGTTTTTAGTTATATGAAAATCAGAATACTATATAATATAACTGCCAGAGAAACGGTTGTTAAATTAAAGGATCAGTAAGTATCTATAAACAGTAAGTAACTCTGAACAGTAAGTATCTATGAGCAGTGAGTAACTCCGAACGGTGAGTATCTATGACCAGTTACTAACTTTAAACACTGATAAACAATGACTTGCAAGTTTAGGAACACAACACATATCTGAGACTTGGCTAGCAGCAGTCACTTCGTTCCGGGGATGTTTGAACCAGTTGGGAATCATAGGCCACGTGTGCGAGATTTGTTTTGGCACAGTTTTAAGAGCAAGCTATTTGACTGAAACTATGGAGTTAGTTTTCTGTAACATTTTATAAGTATATAAATCGGATCATGTTGAATCGGTGGACTATATATATATATACATATATACAGCTGCCATTGGAACTATCGGAAAATGTTCAGAAAATAAATTACAATTTTAAAGTTTTCAAAAATATTTATCTAATTTGATTCAAAGCTATCTTTTGTTATTAAAAAACTTCGTTTTTAGTTATATGAAAATCAGAATACTATATAATATAACTGCCAGAGAAACGGTTGTTAAATTAAAGGATCAGTAAGTATCTATAAGCAGTAAGTAACTCTGAACAGTAAGTATCTATGAGCAGTAAGTAACTCTGAACAGTAAGAATCCATGAGCAATGAGTAACTCTGATCAGTAAGTATCTATGAGCAGTGAGTAACTCTGAACGGTGATTATCTATGACCAGTTACTAACTTTAAACACTGATAAACAATGACTTGCAAGTTTAGGAACACAACACATATCTGAGACTTGGCTAGCAGCAGTCACTTCGTTCCGGGGATGTTTGAACCAGTTGGGAATCATAGGCCACGTGTGCGAGATTTGTTTTGGCACAGTTTTAAGAGCAAGTTATTTGACTGAAACTATGGAGTTAGTTTTCTGTAACATTTTATAAGTATATAAATCGGATCATGTTGAATCGGTGGACTATATATATATATACATATATACAGCTGCCATTGGAACTATCGGAAAATGTTCAGAAAATAAATTACAATTTTTAAAGTTTTCAAAAATATTCATCTAATTTGATTCAAAGCTATCTTTTGTTATTATAGAACTTCGATTTTAGTTATATGCAAATCAGAATACTATATAATATAAATGCCAGGAAAACGAATGTTAAATTAAGGGATCAGTAAGTATCTATAAGCAGTAAGTAACTCTGAACAGTAAGTATCTATGAGCAGTAAGTAACTCTGAACAGTAAGAATCCATGAGCAATGAGTAACTCTGATCAGTAAGTATCTATGAGCAGTGAGTAACTCTGAACGGTGAGTATCTATGACCAGTTACTAACTTTAAACACTGATAAACAATGACTTGCAAGTTTAGGAACACAACACATATCTGAGACTTGGCTAGCAGCAGTCACTTCGTTCCGGGGATGTTTGAACCAGTTGGGAATCATAGGCCACGTGTGCGAGATTTGTTTTGGCACAGTTTTAAGAGCAAGTTATTTGACTGAAACTATGGAGTTAGTTTTCTGTAACATTTTATAAGTATATAAATCGGATCATGGCGAATCGGTGGACTATATAAATATATATACATGTATACAGCTACCATTGGAACTTTTGGCAAATGTTTAGAAAATAAATTACAATTTTTAAAGTTTTCAAAAATATTTATCTAATTTGATTCAAAGCTATCTTTAGTTATTAAAAAACTTCGTTTTTAGTTATATGAAAATCAGAATACTATATAATATAACTGCCAGAGAAACGGTTGTTAAATTAAAGGATCAGTAAGTATCTATAAACAGTAAGTAACTCTGAACAGTAAGTATCTATGAGCAGTGAGTAACTCCGAACGGTGAGTATCTATGACCAGTTACTAACTTTAAACACTGATAAACAATGACTTGCAAGTTTAGGAACACAACACATATCTGAGACTTGGCTAGCAGCAGTCACTTCGTTCCGGGGATGTTTGAACCAGTTGGGAATCATAGGCCACGTGTGCGAGATTTGTTTTGGCACAGTTTTAAGAGCAAGTTATTTGACTGAAACTATGGAGTTAGTTTTCTGTAACATTTTATAAGTATATAAATCGGATCATGTTGAATCGGTGGACTATATATATATATACATATATACAGCTGCCATTGGAACTATCGGAAAATGTTCAGAAAATAAATTACAATTTTTAAAGTTTTCAAAAATATTCATCTAATTTGATTCAAAGCTATCTTTAGTTATTAAAAACTTCGATTTTAGTTATATGCAAATCAGAATACTATATAATATAAATGCCAGGAAAACGAATGTTAAATTAAAGGATCAGTAAGTATCTATGAGCAGTAAGTAACTCTGAACAGTAAGTATCTATGAGCAGTAAGTAACGCTGAACAGTAAGTATCTCTGAGCAATGAGTAACTCTGATCAGTAAGTATCTATGAGCAGTGAGTAACTCTGAACGGTGAGTATCTATGACCAGTTACTAACTTTAAACACTGATAAACAATGACTTGCAAGTTTAGGAACACAACACATATCTGAGACTTGGCTAGCAGCAGTCACTTCGTTCCGGGGATGTTTGAACCAGTTGGGAATCATAGGCCACGTGTGCGAGATTTGTTTTGGCACAGTTTTAAGAGCAAGTTATTTTACTGAAACTATGGAGTTAGTTTTCTGTAACATTTTATAAGTATATAAATCGGATCATGTTGAATCGGTGGACTATATATATATATACATATATACAGCTGCCATTGGAACTATCGGAAAATGTTAGGAAAATAAATTACAATTTTTAAAGTTTTCAAAAATATTCATCTAATTTGATTCAAAGCTATCTTTTGTTATTATAGAACTTCGATTTTAGTTATATGCAAATCAGAATACTATATAATATAACTGCCAGAGAAACGGTTGTTAAATTAAAGGATCAGTAAGTATCTATAAGCAGTAAGTAACTCTGAACAGTAAGTATCTATGAGCAGTAAGTAACTCTGAACAGTAAGAATCCATGAGCAATGAGTAACTCTGATCAGTAAGTATCTATGAGCAGTGAGTAACTCTGAACGGTGAGTATCTATGACCAGTTACTAACTTTAAACACTGATAAACAATGACTTGCAAGTTTAGGAACACAACACATATCTGAGACTTGGCTAGCAGCAGTCACTTCGTTCCGGGGATGTTTGAAC